AACTATCTAATATATATTTTATAGATCACCGTTTGAATTGGTTACATTTAGTAGACTGTTAGAATTTGGATGTGACCTGAATTCCTTATTTGAAGTATTGAAAAATTCTAATTGAAATGCACATTAAAGAGAATTTAAACTTGGAATGCTATTAGAGTTTTATGTCAAGTTGAAATTCTATGTTGGAAGCTCATTAGGAGTTGAAAATTGGTATTGAATTTGAAAAAGATTGCAGGATGGAGAAAATAATTTAGGAAAAAAAAAAAATTGTTGAGGCAGAGTGTCTGCCACGTCGTCACCTGAACTGTTTCGGGTTTTTCGCGTTTTTCTTTTTAAACTTGATTTTTTGGCATCTTACTTTCATCAACAACTCCACTAGGAGGATTTGGACGTCCCCTACATATTTTCTAAAAATATTAGGATTTTCTATACAATTTTGTAAGTGTGAGAAAATAGATTACTAGAATTATAAGATCCATTGTAATTTTCTCTCTTCTCTATTATTTTTGAGTCAATAAAATCTATAGCTACTATAAATTTGATAAGGAAATTGAAAAAATTAGAAGCTGTTGAACATGATGAAAAATTCGAGGAAGATCCCGATATTCACGAATCTTATCGTGTACTATTTATGAGAGTCTTAAGTTTAGAAAGGTCAATAAAGATGTACTGGAAAAGGTTAATGATCTTGAAAGAGACAGAGAAAGTGAAAAACTCATAGGTGACCTTCATGACTCTACCAATAATATGAGTAAGTTGAAACCTGTTAACGGAAACTTGGAAGCCTAAGTTAAATCACTAATAAGTGATATTGAAAAATCCAATGCTAAACTCCAATCCTTCATGAGTGGTTCGCAGAAACTTAATAATCTATTAGGGATGAACAAGCCTGTTGGAAATAGGCATGGTTTGGCTTACGTTCATAATGGTAATCCTACTGCAAGTTCATCCAAGACCACGTTCGTCCCGACCACTAACAAAGCTAAAAAAATTGTTTATCCTAAATCAAAGGGCACAAATGACTTAGGATCGAGACCTACTGGACAACGTAGGGTCAATCATCCTACATATCGGAAACAACCTCCGAGCAGGTATGAATCTAGGTTTATTCCCACCAGTCACCATTGTGGCGCATTGGGGTACACAAGATCTAGGTGTCGTAAGCTCGTGACTAGAAGTAAAAGTCAGAATGTCTCGAGCACGGTTAACTTTCTCGCCAATCAAGTTAACCACTTAACTGTGATGTTAACTCAGATAACTAGAATCACTTTTAAGAAAGTTTGGGTTAAGAAGTGTGATTTTTCTAGGTTAGATGATCAGATAAACTATTATGTTGCCCACGTTGCACTTAGGGATCAAAATATTTCTATATGGTATCTTGACAGTACATGTTCTAGACATATGTGTGGTGACAATGCCTTATTCTCTTCTCTAAATGATTGGAATGACGGTGTTGTTACTTTTGGAGATGGGGCTACTGCACCTATACTTGGTAAAGGTGTTGTTACAATATTTGGACTACATGCTATCTCAGATGTGCTTTATATGAAATGGTTAAAGTCCAACCTGTAAAGCATTAGTCAAATATGTGATTCTGATTTCAAGGTTAGGTTTGTTCAAAAAAGGTGTACCGTATATGATTCTATTGGTAATATCGCCCTCGAAGGTGTAAGAATTTCAGATAATTGTTATGGCATTTTTCCTAATTCCAACTACATGTGCAGTGGTGCCAAGATTGATGTAACTGAACTGTAACACCAACGGCTTGGTCATATGAACTGTAAAAGTTTGTCTAAACTCACTAAGAAGGAACTTGTAAATGGCTTACCTAAACTTGAAAATATTGATACTACTGTATGTGGCTCGTGTCAACAAGGTAAACATCTTAGATTTCTTCATAAACAAACTTCTAAGATTTGATAAGCAAGCCACTTGAATTACTAAATATGGACTTAATTGGACCATCTAGGACCGAAAGTCTTTGTGGTAAACGATATATTTTGGTTGTGGTTGACGATTTTTCTTGATATACATGGATTGTGTTGTCGAGAGATAAAGCTAAGGTATTCAGTCTTATCATCTCATTGTGTAAGAGGTTTAGGAATGAGATTTTACCATATCACGAATTCGTAGTGATTATGGAAAAGAGTTTGAAAACTCCAATCTTGAAATCTTCTGCTTGAAAGAGGGAATCCAACATGAGTTCACATCGCCAATCACTCCACAACAGAATAGGATAGTTGAGAGGAAAAATCGCGTGCTTCAAGAAATGGCAAGAGTCGTGCTTCATGGTAAGGATCTTGCTATGCATTTATGGGGGGAAGCCATCAACCTGCATGTCACATCGTTAATAGGGATTATCTTAGACCTAAAACTGATATGATACCATATGAGATCTGGAAAGGTAAATGGCCTACTGTGAAGTACTTTCGTGTGTTTGGCATCAAGTGCTATATACTAAGAGATAGA